AAAAAAAAACAGTTGACTTGTATTTGCAAGACTTTTATTAGTACGAAGTAACTACAACGGTCAGAGGATAAAGTGGCAGATCTATTGCTCACATAAATAAAATTAACAGTTAAAGTAAAATCATCCACAGTATCGTTCGCTCCACACAAAGAGCAAGCGTATGATTATCTTGCAATCCATTAACCAAAATCGAACGGTATAAGAATAATTGGTTTTGAATCGATTCTATCTTAAGAATTAAAATATTCGTCTATTTATTAATAAATAAATAAATAAATACCATTTATAAAAAAAAAAAAAAAAAATACAGATTATATTTAAAACCTTTTACTCGTAAATGAATTCTAAAGAAGCCAACAACTAAGTATTGCCACCCTTTGTTTGAACACAAAAGAAATAAAGGCATTACCAACTTGTCAAAACTGGTTCTAGCCTCAGTGCTATTACAGCATTAACGGAAACTTGTATATTAGCTTAAATTTAGAGAACAAGCATGCATACGTACCAGATGCACAATCATTAAAATTTTGATCACTGATTGGTCAATAAGGTTTGGGATATGCAATAAGAAAAGGGCACTGGTTTGGGTTTTGAATTAGGTTTGGAATCACAATAATGGTTGACCCCCGAGCCCAAATTTGATAAAAAGTCGTAATTGTTCATTCGGATTTGGTTTATAGCCATAGTACTACCATGTGTCCTTATGAAATGTTTATTTGGGATAGCGTTAGGCACTTGACGTGCCTTAACTGTAAAAGAAGATACAATAAAAGAAAAAAGAATAATCAAAGTTTTTCAACAAGAACTATGAATCCTACCAATACTGAATCAGTTACCCAATTTTCTACCAATACTGAATCGGTCATCCAATTTCCTACCAATACTGAATCGGTTACCCAATCTGAAACTAATAGTCAAGAAATAGAATGTGCTGATAATAATGTATATGTTGAAATCGATTATCTTGAAGTAAAAGACTTTGTTATGGATAGGATCCAAGAGCTAACAGAAAGTGCAAGCACTAGTGAAGTAGTTGATATATTTTTCAAAATACATTTATTAGTGAATATAAATATAGATACTCAAAATATAATAGCAAAAAAAATAGCTAACCTTGTTATTACTGAAATCGAAGAAGTAGTTAATTATTTATAGATGTATGTATAATTTGTTATTATTTTAAATGTTAGTTTTTATATCGAAATTTGAATTTAAATAAAATTCGAATTTAAAAACTAAAATTTTAAAATCTAACAATTTAAAATTCAAACACCAGCCTGATACACTTTTATATTTTTGACTATTACTAAAAAACCTCGTTTTCTTCTTTTTTCTCTTCCTTTTTCTTTATTCTTGTGGATATCAAGAAGTGAATATATCAAAAAAGTTTGGAAAGTCAGTTTGTAGATTCATATATTTATGCTGCCAGTCTAAGGAGGCCCAAAATGAAGAATATAAAGACTCTAACAGAAAATGATATACACGTTATAACTGTAATGGCAAAGTCATAATGTGAGTTGATACAGTTCATGGTGTTGTAAAGGTTGATATATGCCATGAATATTTTCATCCACATCTGAACTCCTACATTGAGATATTAGAAGAACTATTAAAAGAGATTAGAACATATATGTATTTTACTATAGTTGAATTAATTAACCATTTGCAGCACAAAGAGTTTGATATGTCCAAGTACTCACGTAAACACATACACTACTGGAAGTCTATAGTGAGAAAAAATATAAACCAGCATCACAGCAACTCGTATGAACCTAGTTGCAAACTACTTGATGAGTACATGGATTAGGATTTTCATAAGTGCTTAGAGATACAAGATGTGAAATCTACCGTTCTTACCTTTGTTACACCCTGCTAAAGAAAATTAATAATTTTAATATTAGTATAACTGAAATTTATATCGATGCTACTTATAAAACAGCATGTGGGTGATATGAGCTTTACGGTATTATTGCTGATATTGAGGGAGCTGAATTCCCTATCACCTACCTTATAATGGATACAGCAAAGGCAAAAGATAGCACTATTATAGGAAAACATACTGTTACAGTACTGTGGCCTTCTTAACAGCAGTACTATAACAATGACACGGCTACAGGGATCCTTTACAGGTTT